ACATCCTGACACAAAAGATTTTTTGCAAATTGTTAGTCCTTTGGTCATTTTACCATACGTGTCCCAATTTAAGACTATGGATAAATTAGTTGATAATTATTTTTCCACCAAAACGCCAAATTTAAATTTGGACTAAATAAAAATGCACATAAAAACATTGGTAGTTATGTTTATAGCTGCTGAATCAGCAGTGCTGATATATCTCAATCTTTAAAAATGCATGTACTAATTAATTACTTGGAAGAATGTCCACCGCGAGTTTATAATATTTTTAAAATAAATACAATATAAACAACATGGCACATCCTAACTTCAAAGATTCGTTAAAAAGAGCAGTTGTATAGTTTCCATCAAGAAATATTAAATGCTTTTTTTCATGTTGATAATATTTGACAATTATACAGGTTATATTTCTTTAAAGAAAAATGGTGCTGCAATGTTGAAAGAAACCTATGGCAGGTTATTTACAAAACAATGAAACATACCCAGTTAAACATACAAAATTTACGACTACGTCCATGGATTTCGTAGGTCAATAGTTTAGGCATAATTATGGAGGTATGATTTAATAGATAATTAAGTCACCTTTATTTCCTTATTTAAACATTTTTTTCAAAAGCCTTCGTTTTAAAGATAATAGCAAAAACCTGAAATGAATCATCAAATGACGTTTGATATTTGGATTATTAAGAAAAACTTAAAAAAAGGAACAGCTACAATTTTAAAAAACATGTTTTTAAACTTCAGAGGACCTTATTCCATTACTGCAGTCAGTTTTTAGTAATAATTTATTACCAAAATAAAGCATGCAAATTTCTTAATAAGATATGTGACAATAACATAAGGTTCCAATATATTTTGCAGATACAGTTAATAATAATAATAACACAGGCCCACAAATAAAAAAGAAATGGTCTGCGCTATGAATAAGACCATTATATGCCTTTTCGCCCCTCTGAAACGTCTAGATTTTTTTTACAGTTTATCCACAAATCCTGTGTCCAATAGGAAAACTTTTTTATTATGCGTTTTACGAAAAAAAATATTTTTTATAAAAACTTTTGTTTGTTGAAAAAATAACATTCCCATTAATTTTTTTTAAATCAAAAGTACAAGATGCTCAGAAATTAAACATCAAAATTTTTCAAGAGGGAAGTAGAACAAAGATAATAAGAAAATAAGATACAAATTTAAAAAATTATATCACTTGTACAGAGTATTCAAAAATTAAAAAAACATGAAAATGCTTCAAAAAAAGTATATTTATGAAATATTTATGGATATATTTTATAACTGTAATATGTTAACTAATTAAAGTATTTTGTAATTATAACAAACATTTTGTGAATTTAATAATAAAATCTTATATCAATAATTCAACCATAATTTTGGAAATTGGTAACTTAAATAAAAATAAGGTTGATAAGAAATGTGGCATTATTAATTAATTTCCTAAACAAAAAAATTAACAAATGGTAAATTCTCATATAACTTGTTTCGGTGCTGTATCCACTTATTTTTGTGAAAACTAATTCTCGCTCAAGGTTTTTTTTAGTGTAATGAGCATGTAGCATTTTAAGGTAATGGGAACTTAAATTATGACAACCCTAATCTATTAATTTTTTCCTAAACTGCAACTGCAATATCCTAACATTGATGAATATTTTAACAAAATGGCTGTTGAAACAACTAATGTTAGTACTTGATTAACTAAAAAAAAAAACCTTGAGCGAGAATTAGTTTTCACAAAAATAAGTGGATACAGCATCGGAACAAGTTATATGAGAATTGACCAAATACCCACCTAAATGAACACAAAAATAACATACACACAATTAAATAACACACCATTCTGAAACCATCAAAGTCTAAAGACATTTGGTACAATATAATTATCACTACTACTACTACATTTACTATTTTATTTCGTAACATTAACCCACTTCACTGTATCCCATTATTTCAGTTTGAAAACCAGTGATGTGTTTTTTCGGATACTTCGCACACTCAGGGCCGGATTTAGCATGGGGCCAGCGGGGGCCCCACCATTTAGGGGCCCCCACCAATGCAATATGTAGCTTTTTAATAAAACAAATATGAAAAAAATTCCTATAAACACGTGTCCGAAAATGCTTCATTATCGAGATACAGGGTGTTTCGTTTTTTATTTATAGCTTAAAAACGCTTTGACCGATTTTATTACAATTTATATGGTTTATTAAATAATAAATGATTCAAAGATAATAAAAAATCACGTAAAGTTCCTCTAGCTTAAAAATTAACCATGAGTTTTAATTTCCCAAGGGTCAAAATTTTTAGAAATATTGAGGGCCCCCCACCAAATGTCGGCCCCAGGGCCTCAAAACTCTTAATCCGGCCCTGCGCACACTCGTTAAATAGGTATAAAGATTAATAAATAACAAAAGTAACAGATTTATGCAGAAATATAACCATGGTTATATATTATAAACACTCTGGACAGTTGCTACTAACACATTACGAATAATAATAAAGTAAGTAGAAACATAAGTTGCCAGTCAGTTGACTGACTGACGTGTACTTTTTGAACGAAATAATTTGTTAAACATTAACAAAATAATCTGTAACCTTTAAAATTAACATATGCTTACAAAATTGCACATTACCTTTACAAAACTTTCTTTAAAATATTATCCTTTGTTAAAATAATTACAAACCCTTGTTTTCTACAAAAAATTATGTTAAAATTTTACAAAATAAAATTAACAAACTACGAACTCATCTTAACAAATCTGATTTTTATAACAGTGTATAGCATCTATGCGTCGAAATAAAAAAAATATTGAATCTAATGCTGTATAAAATATCCAAATTGAAAGAAAATCGGATAACTTTAATTTTGTTGGTGCTTGCTTGGCGTGAAAGACCCCATAATATGGCGCATACATATTATGTATTACATATTATGCATATTATGCATATTATGTAAGGAATAATTCATAAAGATATATTACTTTATTAACTCTAACTTTATAATTAATTTTGAGCGTATGATCATCGCTGATCGTCAGGACCACCATAATTTATATATATAATATAGATTAATAATTAAAATCTATAACGTACTTTACTATATTTATATATATATATTTATTTATACAGAAATATTTTATAATTTAAGTGATTAACTGGGGAAGTGTTGAAAACTGAGGAATAGAACTATTCTATCTGCCTGAACACACCCCAGAGATTTTCCATTTTTTGTACAATTTTTTTTTTGTTTTTTTTTATTTATAAAATAAGCTAAATTAGATGAATTTGCATTGTAATTAAATGGAAAATAAATTTATTATTATTATTATTATAACTTTGTATATTTTTCTGCATAACATAATTTTATTTTTAAAATAGGAAACCACAGTTTGTCCACCTATAAATTTCACAGAAGCGTCCATGTCGATTAGTGAGAGATAAGCAACAATGGAACAACGCTATGCAACGGTAAACGACCGCAAATATGAGTCTTGCCTTGACGTAAATAGTTCGAGCATTACCTAAGTGGCAACGTTGTCCGCACACAACAAACGGATGACGAAACGTTAAGTACATCTGGCAAACCGGCTTACAGCGATATTGGATGCATTGGTGCCAAATGTAAACTTTTTAAAAATAAATAGGAAAATATAACTTAGTTATAGGTATATGATCCCACCTTTAAAACGCCCATTATGGTACATGTTTTCATGACAGTGACCTTTTAAATACACAATGACAAGATGTGGCTTTATGGTGCAACAGGCTTTTAGTCATGGACTGAATTTAGTTGACATTTCTTAAGTGTCATACATTCGTTAAAATAAATTGCCCTTGTAAAATACACAATATTAACTACAACAATTTATTCTGTCAAGTTATTCATGAAAAAAGCATTGAAATAAAATTAAACTAATAGTAACATGGTACTATTATTATTAATTCAATTTATTTGCAAGAAAGTTTATTCGATAATATCGTTACAAAGTACTGATTGACCCTTTGATTTTGCGCCCCCAAAATGATGCGCCTGCGTGCGTGCACGCACTGCACTAATCTTCCTATTAATATTAAAAGCTCAAATTTGGTGAGCACTTTCTAGAGGTGCCTAAAAACCAATTTTTCAGTGTAGAAAGTAAAAAAAAATATTCGACTTTTTTTAAATCACCCTCATTAGGATTAGGAAATTTGGTGAGCACTTTCTAGAGGTGCCTAAGAACCAATTTTTCAGTGTAGAAAGTAAAAAAAATATTCGACTTTTTTTAAATCACGCTCATTAGGATCCGTTAATATAAAAAATATACCTATAAAAGTTAGATATTTAACTCAAACAAAAGTCAATAAAAACTTGTAAGGAAAACTTTTTATAAGGTCATGAATCGCGTGAATCGCGTAACGGGCGCGACCTTAGAAAATCGGCAAATGCGATCAAGTTGGCTAAAGTTGATTCTGTAAAATTTTGGATGGAAGAATATAGTAATTAATTTTTGTGTAAAACTTGAATTGTAACCTTAAAAAGCACGTATTTTAAATGCACAAATATTGTATACTTTATTTTCTAAAATTTTCTCAAAATGTAACGGGTGCGACTTTTTTATCGAGTATTAAAACTCTTCCGTGTTTATTCCTAATGTTGGCTTCTTAGCATCAAAACGTACGAATATTTTAAGGTTATAGATTAGGCCGCAATTAAACTTTTTGGCTTAAGATATAGTTTTTGTTTTGTTAAATAACAAATATGATTTTTTGTCAAGGTGGGGTTAGATCTAACCTCACTTTCTAGTTTTATTACTACTATAATTATTATAATTGTATATATTGTTCTTTTTATATATTGTTTAAAAAATAAAATAATGCCTTAATGATAAAATGTTTAATTATAAAATAAAAAAGTAAAATTTTAACAAGGAAGTTGCTATATTTGGCAACAGCGCTTACAATAACGTTGAACGTGTGCCAGCTGTTGCTATGCGGCAGTCTGAGGTGAATTTCCGTTAACGTTCTTTAACTAAGTAATCGAATAAATTCGAATAGTTAGATTTCCATAAAGTAAAGCAAATGCAACCAGCAAAATTATGTCGACGAGTTCCATTGTGAAAGCGACGAAGTTAAGGTTCACGATATCGGACGATTTGTTCCTTTTAAATAAAGTGATTGAATCTAATCCGTACGACGACGGTTTAAGGTGGAAGGCGATACGAAATGCAATTGTGGAGGACACCGGCAAAAATTTTACGGTGCGTGCGACTAGGGAACACGTGGATCACCTATTAAAATTATTTATAAAAAGCGACTATTACAATTTGAGAAAGTAAGTGTTATTTATTGGGTTTTATTGTTTACACCGAAAATGTTAACATCGTACCAACAAACAGTTCGAATCTTGAAAATACTTGATTTAAGTATCTTATACATTATACATCCTAAGCTAGATATGCGCTTGCTACACTGTACGTCACAATAGTGTTAAGCAAAAATGAACCTTATTTTAAGTCTGCGGACGTTTATCGGAAAATAAGGAGGTGCCTAACCGTACTTTTAAATTTAGGCATGTGCGGCCAGACGTGCGACGAAATCTTTTTTAATTCATTTACTATATTCTGCATTACATATGTGTCATTTATGTAATTTAAAAAATCATAACTTAAAAATTTAAAATATTATTTTGAAATAAATAAACAAGTCTTTTTTCGTGACATAAAAATTATTATAAAATATAAAAATTAATATAAAATAAACTCTATATAAAGTTTATTTTATATAATGACATTGTCACAAAAAAAATTAGACATTTTTTATTTAGGTATTTCCTAATTATATATTAAATTTTTGGGTTATGATTTTTTAAATTTAAGAGCTATGATTTTTTAAATTTTAGAGCTAGAAAAATCAATATTTTAAAACTACTTGTAAATGGAATAGGAATCCTATTATAGGATTGTAGAAATTTTTAATCTTTTTGCCTAATGTCCGAGATTAGATTAAGTTCTACATATTTGAATATAGTATGAATAATTCATTACTATTAATATTTTAAATGTAAACGCTGACAATTGCATTTTGATACACAGAGAGAAAAATTTTGCTAAAATAACTATCCAAAGTATTGTTAAATGACGTATCGTAAATTTAGTCAACTGTTTTATTAAACTGAGGATTTGTATGGCTAATTTAGCTATACAGATCCTCAGTTTAATAAAACAGTTGACTAAATTCACGATACGTCATTTAACAATACTTTGAATGGTTATTTTGGCAAAATTTTTCTCTCCGTGTAGATATAGAAAAAGACAAAATATACCTAAACCATAAATGGACATACAGTTGTATTCATTAAAAAAGCTTACAAGAATTAGAATGAGAGAAAACTGTCAACATTATTGCGTAAAACTGGCTTTCCACTGACTTAAGTCACTATAACTGACAGTAGAAAATAAAAATGCCTCGTCAGTTATCTCAAGTTAAAAAGGCTTAAATAGTATCAACAATCGAAGAAGAATGGTCAATTCGTGCTGTGGCGCAGTTGTATAATAGAAATAAAAAATCTATATTAAAAATTAAGCAACGCTGGGAACAGGAAGATTTACTAAACTAAAGTTACTTCAGGTCGTCCCAAAATGTCCACCCCTGAACTGTTCAGGCTGAACAGGATGCTGCTTTTTTGAGATATTTAAGAAATAATCCATATGCAGTCCATCCCAAATAGATTGGCTCAAGTAATAGAAAAACAGGGATACATGACTGAATATAAAAAAAAATTTAATGTTTTTTTTTCATTTCTAATAGGTAATAATTTTTGTAATATTATTTTTCTACGACCACTATGTAAAAGTCACTTTTCATGATGGCATCGTTGCTTAGAAAATGAATCTTTTCATTGGCAAGGCAAAACACGAATGTAAAGTGACATCTCTGTGTGAAAAGTGACAGGTCTGTGTGAAAAGAACCGGAAAGCATCGTTTGACATTCAGCTGTCAAAAAAGTTTTTAGGTTATTTTGTTTTGTATTTAAAAATAATAAAAAATAAAAGGGTCGCAGAAAAAACATTGTGTTATACTTGTGAGAAAAGCTTTCTTCAAGCTCGTGTTAATGCACACTCGGCCTAACGGCCTCGTGGGCAACTTAAAAAGTCGCATGAAACACTTGTAAAACAAATAGCTATTAATTAACCTACGACGTCAATGCTCTTTATAACCTAAAGTAATTATTTTAATGACTTATGTCAGTGAAAAGCCGGCTTTAAGCAATAATATTATATATACAGTTTTCTCTCATTCTAATTATTGTACGCTTTTTTGTTGAATACAACTGTACATGCATTATATGCACAAAAAACGCCTAGTGCTTGAAAAACATTTTTATTCTAATAATATAGTTACATGTCAAAACTAAAAAACACGCTTAAACACACCTTTTCACACCGTTTCCCTGTGCCAAGAAGCTATCCCCTAAAAAATCTTTAATCGACTAACCGACTAATCGACTCTTACCTTACTTTATATTTTTAATAATTATTATAATGTTGTAATATTGTACGTTTTATGGTTGGTTTGACAAATAAAATTATGCCTTGAAGATTAAACGTTAAATGCCGTGCGGCTAAGAAGCGTCTTTTTTTGCTTCGCTCAATTGTAGGCAGGGATCACTTGATATATATCGGATATTTATATAAATATCATATTTGCAAACCTTAGGGTTTGCAAATATATATCACTCGATTTATATTGAATATTTATCGGATATTTATAAGCCCGTAATGCGTCCTCATTTAGACCTTAAGCACAAAAAGACTCACTTCCTAGCCTTATGACATAATTAAATATTATCTTCAAACGTTCTATAATTATTATCTATTATTATCTATCTATTATTATCAACCAGGGTTTCCACGCGTCCTGGAAAACCTGGAATTTGTAAAAAAATATTCAGTACTGGAATTAACCTGGAATTTTATAAAAAAAAGATATTTTTCCTTGATTTTTTAAAGAAACCTGGAATTCCAAACATTATAATTCTATTTGAACTTAGCGTTAAAGAAACGAACTGTAAAATATTAAAAAATAAAATTGCTTACTCCAATTGCCGTTTGTGGTGTTTTTAAACAGAGCGCAGTTGACTAGCTTCATTAGAGAACCGAGAGGTGACGCCACTAGCGGAGTGCTGGTGGTTGCAATAACTTATAAATTATAAGTTATAATAGTATATTATTATACGAGAGATAATGCAGGCTATTATTCACAAGGATGATATTTGCATCTCGAGCCGTCAGGCGGGATACGTAAATCATTCGAGTGAATAATGTGCATTATTTCGAGTGGAATACTATGCTTTTTCTACTCCAATTAAGTTATTTTCATTAATAACAAAATGTATTATATCCTCACTTTCTCCCGATTATACAGGGTGTCCGGGTAAAGAAGGTCAATCCGTCAACCATATATTCCTTGAGTTAAAACAACAAGACTTTCATAATACCATTTTTCAATTTAGAGCTTCATGTTCGATATACAGGGCGACAAAGTTTGAAATTTTAAACTGATTTTTTTTTAATAATTCGAGTAATTGATAAGATATTAAGTTTAAATTCGGTACACTATTTCAACCTAAATAGTTACATTTTTTGAGACCAACAAAATAAAAAACAATTGTCAAATAATCAAAATAGGGGGGTCCAGTACTCACTGACTCCCCCTACTTTTTAGTACGTGCGCCAATAACTTCCAAACGGTATTTTTTCAGGTAATTATTTATTGTTGAAATTTTTTTGTCTCTTATAAAATTTTGATAAAATGATTTGTTTTAGAGATAATTTGTAAAGTATAGGTCAGTCCATATCAAATTTTCGAAATTTAATTTTTTTTTTAAATTTAGGCCATGTGATATATCATAAAAAAGGTCTCTAATAGGCCTTTCAAATAAGCCATCATTCACCTGTCTACTTTTAATAGTTTACGAGATATCCCTATTTTTGTAAGTACTTGCAAGACCCAAATTTATCGGAATTTTTTGATTTTCAAAAATCAATAAAACAAAAACCGCCTATCGAAAAAAATTCATATATGGGATTTTTGAGTTTTTTAGTGAGGTAAACAAATTTACCAAAAATTATCAAAATCGGAGATGGTGGGGGAAGAACCTTTGGTTGATTTGATATGGACTGACCCATACTTTACAAATTATCTCTAAAACAAATCATTTTATCAAAATTTTATAACAGACAAATTTTTTTTAACAATAAAAGATTACCTGAAAAAATACCGTTTGAAAGTCATTGGCGCACGTACTAAAAAATAGGGAGAGTCAGTGAGTACTGGACCCCCCTATTTTGATTATTTGACAATTGTTTTTTGTTTTGTTGATCTCAAAATATGTAACTATTTATGTTGAAGTAGTGTACCGAATTTGAACTTAATATCTTATCAATTATTCGAATTATTAAAAAAAATCAGTTTTAAATTTCAAACTTTGTCGCCCTGTATATCGAACATGAAGCTCTAAATTAAAAAATGGTATTATGAAAGTCTTCCTGGACACCCTGTATACTAGGTATAGACAAAGATAATACACCCCATAGATTGGAAACTGCACTAGCGCTAGCGGCAAAAGGCTAAAGTAAATTAACGCCATCTAGGTCTACAATACCATTAGCAATGCCAAAAATTGAAGTACATTTCTGTAACATATATTGGCGCCATATTTGAATGTTGATGCTTCGTAGGGTGCCTTTATATATTGTATTTACTGCTGTATTTTAAATAAAACAAGTATGAATATAAGATTTATTTATTGTATTAATAATATAATATAAAATAAAATACATACATCTATATGTACATATTAAATACATAATCGTTATACATGAATCTGTTTTTGTTTGTGGAGTGCAAACCTAAATAATATTATAGTCTAAATTCTTCAATAATAAGAGAATATTGCAAACTTTGGTAATTTAGTCCAGGCTACTTATACATATACATATAGGAATTTGTACAAGGCGTTTGAGTGTGGACTTTTGGCAAGTTCTAACCAACCGTGAAAAATCCCTATTGGTTTTGAAACAACCATAAGTAGCCTGGGCTTGGCCTGGACTAAATTACCATTAAACAATCAATCCTAAATAATTCATAATTAACAAACAGTATTTTTACGCTAGAGCGATACTGCCGTGCTTAGCCAAAAAGACGCAACTCCACATTTTTACTTTATAAATTATAGCGCTTTATTGTTTTTTTCTAAGTTACGTTCAATTTAATTAGAAATTTTTAGGAGCTATAGTACTTAAAAATGAAAATAAGATGAGTCTTTTTGGCTTAGGACGGCAGTATAGTCAATACTTACAAATTGCTTACATTTTCGCGCCCAACCACTAACAACCATTAACACGTTTTATCACTTTTAAGACGCAAACATGTATTTAATAATTCAAAAATTATGATCGACATCAATAATTATGATTGACATTGACATTTTCAAATAGCGTTTGTACAGATGTCTGCAATTTACAAATAGATATAGTTCAGGTATTGTAGCTCTAGAGGGCAGTGGTGGGAGAGTTTTCAATCTATGGGGTGTATTATCTTTATAGTTGCCCCTCGTATATAAAAAAAATCTGACATCTGTTAACCTTACTTTTTTTTCAATTTAAAACCCGATTGGTTTAATCTGTGAATATTGAAATCAGCCAATCACTGATGAATATTGAATATTGAGTTCATTATTCACTTTGCTAGGCAGGGCCCCAGTAAGCACAAGCTAGCCGGCCCGCATACGGCCCGAATACGTTTTGCCGAATCGGCCGCGTGCGGCCCGACACACCTATTTCTTCCGGCGTTTAGAACGGGCATGTCCACCTGGCCAACTGTCGGGCATATCCGCCTGGCCGAATGTCGGCTATGTTTACTCGGCCGAGTGTCGGCCTGGCCATTCAAAAAAAGCCTACAGACGTCCTGGAGAGGTATATCCTATAAGTTTAGTCCTGATATTGTCTGAATGGCTAGATACTTTTTTAACACACTCGACTAGCTAGACATTATTCGTTACTGAGCAGATGAGGATGGAGATGGGGACTCCAAACAATTAATGTTCAGCTATGCCATTACGGACGCACACTTCCAACTAAATATTGCAACCAATCGCTATTTACAGTTAGCTCGCGTGCGTAAGCAGCCGTGAGATGTATCGCTTATGCCGCGGCAGGCCGTATTCCAGCCGTAAGCGGGCCGGCTAGGGCAAGCCAAAGGATTTTGCAGCGGCATGCCATATTCCGGCCGATTTCGGTTGGAACATGGCTAAAAGGTACCGGGGTAACAAGACGCGGGCCGTAAGCGGGCCGGCTTGGGCAAGCCGAACCGCCGGTCAACCGCCTATGCGAAGGCCGACTGTTTGCCGAGTGTTTGGTGCTTACTGGGGCAGTTATTTTGGTTACCATTATTTACGAAAAAAAAAAAAACAATGTTAATAATATGCAATAGGAGTAGAAAAATAAAATTATTTTGTAGTCATAAATTATTAACCCCGATTTCCGTAAAAAACAATATTTAAAGGTGCACTAAGATTGAAAGATTAATAGATTACAGGTACATTTTAATATTTATGCAATATTGTTTTCCCAGTAAGCACCAAACACTCGGCAAACAGTCGGCCTTCACTCGGCATAGGCGGTTGACCGGCGGTTCGGCTTGCCCCCAGTCGTCCCGCTTATGGCCCGCGTTATGTTAGCCCGGTACCTTTTGGCCATGTTCCAACCAAAGTCGGCCAGAATACGGCATGCGGCTGCAAAATCGTTCGGCTTGCCCTAGCCGGCCCGCTTACGGCCGGAATACGGCCTGCCGCGGCATAAGCAATACATCTCACGGCTGCTTACGCAAGCGAGCTAACTATAAATAGCGATGGGTTGCAATATTTAGTTGGAAGTGTGCGTATGTAATGGCATAGCTGAACATTAATTGCTTGAAGTCCCCATCTCCATCCTCATCTGCTCAGTAACGAATAATGGCTAGCTATAGTCGAGTGTGTTAAACCTATAGGATATACCTATCCAGGACGTCTGAAGGCTTTTTTTGAATGGCCAGGCTGTTGTGGCCGGCACTCGGCCAACTATACACAGCCGACACTCGGCCGAGTAAGCATAGCCGGACATGCCCGGTCTACACGCCGGAACAAATACATGTGTTGGGCCGCACGCGGCCGATTCGGCAAAACGTATTCGGGCCCTATGCGGGCCGGCTAGTTTGTGCTTACTGGGTTCGGTTTAATTAGTTTATTAAACTCTATTAAGCCGCTAATGGTGTTGACAACGCTAATGGTATTAACATTTAAAACCATTAAGCATTGGATGGTTTTAACCACGGTCTTATACATATAAGATCATGGTTTTAAGTACATACAACCTTATGTAGGAACTTTATTAAAGACCCCCGGTATTTATTATATAAATATATATGTATATAGGTATATATAGTAAGTAAGTAATAGTTATGGTGGATTTATGCAGCACACGTTAAAAAAAAACAAAAAGTTAACATTAAGTTTATATTAAGCTAATTTAAGGTGGGTTGGGTGCAGCAAAATTAGTGGCAAATTAAGCGTGCGTATAAGCATAGATTAGATTAAGTTAAGTATAACGACTCAAGACAGCTAGCAATTTAAATTTAATAATGGTGGCAAAAGCGTTTTGGGAAAAAAAATATAAAACAACATTTCTCTCGGAATTGTTTTGAATGTATTTTATGTACTTCTACATTGACAAGCTGTGCCTTTATGACGTTTTAGTAACGGGCTGAAGGTAGAAACAGTGGCTTTTTAAAAATTATAAAACAACATTTCTCTCGGAATTGTTTTGAATGTATTTTATGTATTTCTACATTGACGAGCTGTGCCTGATGTTTTAGTCACGGGCTGAAGTTAGCTTTATTACAAACTGGGAAAAATTGAGGTTAAATTCGGGTAACAGTTGACAGATGTCAAATTTCAAATTTTTAACCTATAAAATAGGCTTTAAATTCTGTTTTGTGTTCGTCGTAAATAATGTATAGAATTCAACTCGTTTTTAAACTTCTCTAGACACACTTTTTATTAAACACTCGCACACAAGCTTCTCTCGTACTTAATTAAATTCGTAACTAAAGTGGCGTTTATAAAAACACATAATGAGTATTTCTACTCCCAACTTTAAAACGCCCATTATTGTAGGTACATGTTTAGGTACATGACACTAATTAGTGACCTTTTAAATAACCATTGACAAGTTGTGGCTTTATGGCCTCTTAGTCACGGTCTGAAGTTAGTCTTAAGTTAGTTGACAGTTGTCAAATGTCATACAATGGTTAAAATAAAGTGCGCTTGTAAAATATTACTAAGTAAATGTAAAACATTTTACTTTACTTTCACTGTGAAAAACTGCTTGGATTAAACGATCCATTTTCAAGGGTTACATTTTAATTTACACAAAAAAATGACATTTGACATTATTTCACGTTACCAAGTTGGTTACTCTATTATTTTATAGATCGCTCTATATAATATTTAATTTAAATCATTTTTAGATAATAATAAGTTTTGTAGTAGAAAAAGTATAGTATGCAACTTTTTGAAACTTTTCGAAAATTCTGACACCCAAATTAAAATTACTTCTTCTAACATTTATATGCAAAAATGTATGAGGCCAAGAGGAACAATTTATATTTTATCATTTCTATTGTAGAGAACATCGTGTTTACCAAAGAGCAAACATATTTGTTATTTCTAAAACTAAATTATGGAGTCACGTAAACAGAACGAGTTTTTGCTTTTAGATCAGCCACCGATGATCAATACGAACAAAAAATACTTTTGTTAAAACAAATTTCTGATTATGTGTATTTGAAAAATGAACGGAATGGGAATGGATTGGAGTTGGACAATGAAATTAATGCAACTTCTGGTAAGATTCTCTACATCAATTTAATAAAAACAATTTAATTTAACAAATTTTAGAACATATTAAAATTGAAGTCGAGGAAGCAACTTTGGAGGACATTAACTCTCAGGAAGATGATATTACGGAACAGCCTTTAATCGAAAGTGAAACCCCAATAAATAACAATCTAAACAGTATTCCTTCATCAAAAACTAATCCCAGAGGTAAACACTTAACCATAATTTAAGTTTAAAATTAATAAAATTTAAAAAAACAAACAATTATACAGGGTGCGGCAAAAAAGGTTGCCCCATTTTTAAACGAACGTCATAGGTACGCGCATGCCATTTTCAGTCGTCATAATGAATCTGTCAGAAATATTTGGGATGTCCATAAAAATCAAACTAAGAAAAAGCTTTCTATTTTTTAAAGGTCCATTATTAATTAATGGACCATTAATTACGTGAAAGTTTTTTAAATTCCGGCAAAGTTGTCTCTTTACGGGGTGATATTGGGTAGCCTCCGCGTTCACCTGATTTGACCCCTTGCGATTTTTTTTGTGGGGGTATCTAAAATCACAAGTTTTTAAACATCGTCCATAAAATTTGGAAAATCTAAAGGCAGCAGCAATAAGGCAATAAATCAACGCAATTCCGCAAGACATGGCGCGCAGAGCAATTACGAGCTGTAGTAATAGGCTTCAAATATTCATTGACAATAACGGCGGTCATTTAAAAGACAATATTTTTAAAACATGAAATGTATAAAATAATTTGTTTCCAAAATACGTTCTCCCTACATCTTAATAAATTTATTAACCCAGACATAGATATAACATGTTTGGTTACCATTTAGCGTAGTTAAAAAAACATTCTGCCATTAAAAAAATCAAAATTATTAGTGCTAAGACAATTCTTCTTAATTTCCAATAAACGAATTTGGATTGGTGGTATCAGCACCCTGAATAAACATTTTAAAAAGCCTCTTACCATTTGTTTAGTAAATGAAAATAAACAAAGTAGGTAACTGGGTACATTTTTTTAAATCTTTTAAAATTTCACCTTTATAAAGGTTAAATACTTAGGTACCCAAAGTAGCCAAAGTTTTTGTTTAGATTTTTGCTTTGCATTAGGCTTTAAAATAAAACAAAAACGAAAGGTAAATTTGGTTTAAAAATTTTACATTAGGTTTACTGTTTAACACAAAATTATAGTCGGAGTAAAAACTACTAAAATGGAATCTGTGCAACCATAAAAATCAGTGGTGGATCCAAGCAGAAGTGGGCCTTGGGGCAAATCATACTTAGTGTACCTTTGCATTTCAAGACCAAAAATTTTATATTTAAAACTACTTTACAGAAAAAATAGAAAAAATAACGGAAAATACATATCAGTGGCGGCTGGTGGATTTTATGTATACCAATATCTCAGTTATTAGATGGGACCCACACAAAATTTATAATAGTTTATAATGACATTAAATAAACAAGCTCGGCGCAAACAGAATTTAAATTGAAGTTTTTGAAAAAAAGTTAGTTTTTCCTGTCGCCTTACCCGCCTCCAGCCCCCCTTATTTGAGATAATTCAAATTAAAGTGGTGCAATTTATTATCTACTATAATTTATTAACAAATTTAAAATTTTATTTAAAAAATCCAAATATTACAGATTGTATTCGATTTTAAATTTTTATTATTTATTTTTTTTTTTAAATAAAAAAATATTTAAAATGGTATAAAACCTGTAATATTTGGATTTTTTAAATAAAATTTAAAATTTGTCTATAAATTATAGTAGATAATAAATTGCAGCACTTTAATTTGAATTATATTAAATAGGGGGGCCCGGAGGCGGGTGAGGCGACAGGAAAAACTAACTTTTTTTCGCAAACTTAAATTTAAATTCTGTTTGCGCCGAACTTGCCTATTTAATGTATAATGTTATAATAAACTATTATAAATTTGGTGGGGGTCGCATGTCTAATAACTGAAATATTGGTATACCCAAAATCCACCAGCCGCCACTGATACATATTTTTTTTTAATTTACAAAACAGAAGTATGTTTTTATATCGCTCTTCTTCAAACTTGGGTTAAATCACGCAATGTCTGCTCACTTGTAGATTTCATACAATGTTTTAACATTTTGGTTTACTAAAAGATCGTTTCAAAAAAACACACAACTTCACAAAAGTCTGCTTCCATATGTATATTATGTATACTCATAATTTTTAATTATAAATTTAATAAGATCATAGGTACCTTCTTTAATGTCATGTTTCATTAAATTAAGCAACATATTAAACTGATTTATAAAACGATTCAAATATTTCCTAGTCATCTTTGTAAAAAAAATTATTGAGCTTATGATTACATACGGCAACTTTTTTACAGTGAGAATAGCAGAAAGCAGTTTTCCAGAAATCTATATACCATATTTTAAAATCCTTAAAAGAGAGTGGGGATATTTTGCATCATTTGGGTTTTGTAATTATAAGCGAAAATCTCGAACGATGCACTTTACTCTCTTTTAAGGTGTTTATTAATAATTAATATTTTATTTAACAATTTTCTTTATGTCTGGGGGCTCCTATATGATTGGGGCCCCCGGGCACCGTACCGAACTGCCCGATCATATGTCCGACCCTGACAAAAACAAATAAACTATGACACTGTAAATTATTGTTTTTAATTTGCATTAAACATAATATTATTATGAAATATTATGTTTTATGTAGACTAATATTATGAAATGAACTGGGTTAAACAGACCTAATGTTTTTGATGCAAATATTGAAAAAGTTGCTTAAATTTTTTTGATAAAACGCTTAGTTTTACTCCAGTACAATGTTGCAATTCCTATATACCGTATACGGTAACTACCGTTATTTAAATGTCCTCGTATCTACAATATATTTTGCGTTTTTAGTGAGAAATAATGAATTTTAACCCGTTTTGTTTGTTTCATATTTTTATCTTTAAGCTGTATGAATTAAACCCTATTGTCGTCAACATTCGACACTAAAATGGTTGGACGATTTTATTATTCACTGTGATTTTGCACAGCGCAGGGTCCCGTTTTTTGTAATTTTGCAGGCAGAAATGAACATGTGCATTTATTCTTTTAGCCCGGTAACATGTCACTTTGCCGCCTAGGTCTACAATATACTATTTTATTACATGTGTTTTTGGAAAGTCAAAAAATATATTTTTTTGTTTTTAACTTTTTTAAGTATAAATAATTACGTATAAAAAGCTTAATTGAAAAAATAAAGGTTTTCATTTTTAAATGCGTCTAAAAAAATGTAACAACCGCGACTTAGTTGCGAAGAAATAGATATTCATAACTTTTTTGTGCACTTTTATTCACCTTATTTTTTGTGTACTTATAAAGGAAAGATTACTAAACAATTTGACGTAGTAACACCCTATAAATCTTATAAATATTTATAAAGATAAATCATAGTTAAGCTTACCAAAAAAAAATATTTTTTTTTTAAATTTACTAATGTGTTTAAAATTTTATAAGTTTTAATTTCATTACTTCTGTTTTAATTTTATGAACTTTACTGTTTTATGAAATTTATTGTTTGAAAACCATTCATTCAACTTTGGGAGTTCATAAAAACAGAAGTAAGAAAATGTTTTAAAACCCTTTGGAAATGTGAGAAACAGTTGTGGTTTAAAATATTTTTAGAAATTTCAGCAAGTTTATGATCTTTATGGTTTCATTTGAATTTTATATTTAACAAACCTCCCCCCGCCGAAATTTGTTTATGCCTACGCGCCTGATACAATGTGTCTATTCGGATCTACGCTTGAATAGGTGTAAAAAGACAAAACAATTTTGAATTAAAATTTTAACTGTAAGGGTTCAGTCCTGCTGAAGTAGAAATTAATTTGTGACATATTTTTATTTAAAAAAAATAAGAATGCCATGTAAAAACATACAAAAAACTGATTTTTGACATCAGTAAAGTACCTTTCCTCTACAAGATATAAACAAATTTTATTAAGAAAAATTATTCTAAATGATAAGCTACATTGTAAGCTGCAAATTTTTAAAATTTTCAAAGTTTTAGAATTTTTTTTACAACTTTATCTCGAACTATTAAAAATATTTTCTAACAAATAATATTAATTGAATTAATTTTTACTTTGACTGCATGAACCCATTGCTAATACAGTACATGCATCATTTGCGTCGAAATTATTTTATTTTTTTAGATATATTACGTATGTACGCTAGCGGTATTAAGGAGTTTTTTAATCAATCCGGACACAGTATATTCAGCCACTACTTGATTAGAAAACTTTATATTAAATAGTCTAATAACTTTTGGTTTAAATGATTAAACTGTACCACAACACTGAATTAAGTACGAGGTGTGTTCAGAAAATAACGGGAATTGTTAAATTTCGCCGGTTCAGAGGGTCCGGTTGTCATAAAATTTTCTTTATTATGTTGGTATACATGCCCCCGAAGTATGATAAAAACTTTAGCTGTTTTCATTGTTTACTTTGTCTGTGGCAGCCGCTAAGGTTAGACGTGTTTTATGAGCTCGGCGATTTTTCGTTCGTTAAAAGAAATGGATCAAAGAATTTGTATCCAATTTTGCTTAAAAAATGAAATAAATTTTGTGAAAAGTTAACAAAGGCCTATTTTGAGTCTGCTATAAGTAAAACAAGAGTTTACAAGCGGTATAAGAGTTTCCAAGATGGCCGTGAAAACGTTGAAGATGACGAACGCCCTGAACGCACAAGCACATTAACAACCGATAAAAAAAGTGGAAGAAATGGTTATAAACCATCAGAGAAGTCGCTGATGATGTTGGTATATCGATTGGCCCATCCCATGAAATTTTTTCGAATGTTTTGGGTATGAAACGCGTGGCAGCAAAATTTGTTCTAAAATTGTTAAATTTTGAACAACATTTTTGGCCAAAAACAATACTGTAATGATGCCCCAGCCTCCATATTCGCCAGACATGCCTCTGTCTGACTTTTTCCTATTCCCAAAAATAAAGAGAACCTTAAAGGGCCGTCGTTTTGCAAGCATAGATGCTATCCAAAAGATCGAGTTTTAGAAGTGTTTCGAGTATTGGAAGAAGAGCTTGCACATGTGCATAATATCCAATGGGGACTATTTTGAAGGCGACAATATTAATGTAGACGAATAAATCAATATTTGTTTCAAAAAAACGAATATTCCCGATATTTTCTGAACACACCTCGTATACCGTTCAGGTTATGGACGTGTACTTTTAAATTTGCATGCATATGTAGCTTGTCATTCTGAACCACTTTTCTTGATACAATTTTGTCATATCTTGTACAGAAAAGCTACTTTACTGATGTCAAAAATCAGTTTTTTGAAAAATAAAAAATATGTAAAAAATTAGTTTTTACTCAAGCAGTGCTAAATTTCAATTCAAAATTATTTTGCCTTTAACACCTATAAGAACGTCATTCCGTTGATACACTACACTGTATAAAAGCTTAGACAAATTTTTTGGATTATCTTACTTGTCAAACAAAATATATCAAATTATGCAAACAACATTTAAAAACCACCATGCGAAAATTAATAAAAAAATAACGCAATCCAAACATTTACAGCTTCAGCCATCCTAGTTAGAAGGCCTCGTAAAAGAATAATACCCAGCACAGCCTACAGTACCTACTTCCAATACAAACGAGATTCGGAAAACAAACTAAGGGAAAAAGAATTGGATTTGGAGGAACGTAAACTTGCAGCGGAAGAACGTAGAATCAATTTAGAAGAATTAAAGTTCGCACAAGAAAAAACTGAAAAGGAACAGCGTCTACAAATTGAGTTAGAAGAAAGAAGGCACCGACTTAAACTGGAAACTCAGCAACAAGAAATATATACTTTGTTAATACAGTTTTTAATAAATAAAAAATAGTTATTCATACTTAAATAGTGCAGTTTTTTCTATATATGGCATTTAATTTATTTATTCGACAGGCTAAAAAGAAATATTAAGAGGATTTAGCTGTAGACCGCAAAAGTTTATTAACGTATTACAAGGAAAAATTATATATAATTAATAAATATTATTTATACAAACCGTGAAGGTTGAAATGCAAGTATAACAGGCCGAAATTTGTTGCATTTGATAAACTATGCAGTAGACAGTATGTACATTGTACATTAGGGTGGGTTACTGTTATAGGAGAAAACAAATTTCCAATTAGTTTGCTCTTATATATAAGTGATCAAAGTATGATCTATTCCTGGGGGATACAAAAGCCACTTTAAAATATTTATCTTCTACCCGCGCATTATCTTTGAAAATCTGCATTTTATTGTTATATCAGTTAAAATTGGACAAAGCCATTGTTATTAAGTTCTAGTAAACCATTTTGTTTTTTGTAAATTAAACAAGTAAAAAGAAACCTAATAATGTTAATTTATTGAATTAATTTTATACCCAAATAAAATTAATCATTAAAAATCACGTTTTCTCTCAAACTTTGGCAAGATCGTTGTAGTACCAAGTTTACAAATGTGTTTTTAAGCAATTGAGATTGACAATAGAACATTTTCTGGATGCGGAATGAAACTATTTTGCTTAATTACATGGTCGATGACATCCTTTAGTTAAGAAAGGTATCGAGAGTTAAAAACCAATTTTGAAAAATGAACCCATGACCCATATTTACGATTTTAATTCCGAACCAAACAGGCGCGTAAACTCTGACAGCGAACAAGGCAAGATGTTTGAGATTTTCAGATGGATAACTCGTGGAAATATCGTCTTAATATCCTATTGACTTTTATAAGCCATCGAACATCTTAATAAATTTCCTGGAGCTCTATTTGCTAGATCATACTTTAAAAAAGGACGTTTTTCACATTTCTCCAGTAATTTTCCAAAAGCGCCTGCATAGGAAGTTGGTAGAGTTATCGCACCATCCAGATATGAAAACAGTCAACTTGGAGGGAATGTATTCATAATATAGTATGTAAAAGACATATACTTAATCAATTGTAAAGGCTAGTTAAATCTTTTTCTGACTATCGTATAACACCATAATTGCCGGTATTAGTGACTGTTATATCGCAGCTAACTGGTACTGTGGCTCTAAAAAATTTTTTTGTAATAAGCTACTCTGGTACTAAATATCCACCATAAACAGAGTCTGGTTCTTTAATAAAGGTACTTTTGGCACATTTCTTTACTATTTTAAGGTGGTATCCTTTCTGCTGTTAAGTACAAAGCTGGAATATTGAGAATATGGAATAGAAAATAAAAGATTTTCCCCCGCTTAATCTCAGAGAGCTCCCCTTTTCAAGAAAACTGTACAAGAATTGGTGTCGTATGGCAGATAACAAGAAATTCACAAGGGCACAGAAATACCAGATGATGCTGAAGACGCACAGTGGACTGGAATCGCCAAATACAATTTAGGTCTTTTTGTAATTGAGTAAATCTAAATTGACATTCCTATAGAAAAAACATTGCATTTTTACTTGGTATTTGTAAAATTTAAAAATATTTACTAATAAAAAAGTTATAGAACCTTAAAGTTGACCAAGTTTAAAATCAATACAAATTATTATTTTTTCTTTAAAATTAAGTTTGAATGGCTGTAACTTAAAAACTAATAAATATTTTTTAATATTTTTTTTTAATAAAAGCTAAGATATTTCTATGTATCTTTACAATTTTATAGTTAAACAAATATTAACAAATAAGTTATAAATTACCAATACCTAATCTAAAGTGCTAAGAAGTGCTAAGAACTGAACATTTTTTAACTTATAAGTGGTGAACATTTTTTTTGGGGGGGAATCAAGCAGCTCTAATTATATAAATTTTGTAGGCCAAAATTATTTTTTTATTATTCTTTTAAGAAAATTGCAATACGAATATTGATGAAACTTTATCTAAGAAGCTGGAAGCATTTTTTTAGAAATACGAAGAATCGTTTACAATATTCGCAACAATCAAAAATTTCTAAATAAAAATTCTAATTGCATAGATAAGCCTTTTTTATCCAAAGGAAAGGTCAAAGATGGATTTTGTTGAACTATTCCATAGATCAAAGAGACGGAAAGCTGCATAATTTAAAGAACAATTTGGCATTGAAGGTGTTGATTATCTTCATGAATCCACACATAAACACGACAAAGAAAATATAGAACCTTCGACATCTAAATCAGGAGAGATTCCCTTTAAAAAAGAAGAGGTTTTGGCGTTGTTTCTTGATTTAAATTTAACTAAAACAAACTATGAAAAATACGATAGCTTGTTTTGGGACACAATTCTAAATTATTTTCAGCCTACGAATGCATTCTAGAAGCAAAAAAAATGTTATCCTGAGTCGCTAAATAAAAATTCAACCTCTTATGGACCATACAGTCATAAGAATCCTGGAATCATGTGAAAACATTCAGGAAGAGATTAAACCAAATTTGGAGCTCATAGGAAAATGGGGTTGTGATGAAGCCTTTGGGCAATCACAATACAAGCAAAAATTAACCAATGCCAATACATCTGATGCCAGCATTTGTATGTGTTCATTTGTCCGGTACAAAAATGATTATAAAGGAAATATAATTCGTGCTAAATACACACCCTTTTTCAACAAGATATTGCCGACCCATATTTTTTGAATAAACTAAGGAGACTCCAGAGAAAACGAAATGTACTTCTGTAAACTACATAAAATTTCAAATCGCTTTATTAAAGCCTACAATTTTGAAAACTGAAAATGCGGAATATGAAGTAAAGCACACTTTATTTTCTACAATGATGGATGGTAAAGTAGTTCAAGTGTTGACAGGAACACCTTCAGCAGCTTCTTGTATTCTTTGTGGATTAATTCGAACCGAAATGAATTGGTTGGATAGGGTTAGAGATAAAAATATAGATCCACAAGCTTTAGAATATGGACTTTCAAGTCTTCACGCGCTGGTTAGGTTTATGGAATGTGTATTACATATTGCTTATAATCTTTCATTTAAAACATGGACAGTTAAAACTGATGAAAATAAGGCCCTAAGAAAATCAAAAAAATTAAGAATTCAGGAAGAATTTTGGAAAAAAGGGACTAAGAATGGATGTGCCCAAACAAGGAGCAGGGACTACCAATGATGGTAATACAGCTCGTAGATTTTTTTAGGATCCAGAGACAACATCAAATATAGCAGAAGTAGGTGTAAATCTAATTAAGAGGTTACGGTATATTTTGCAAACTTTGGCACCTGGAAAATGTTGAAAAATTTAAGAAATACGCACAAGAAAAGCAAGCTCTATGTAAAAACAAAAGAAGGTCAATAATTCAATAATAAAACTTCAACTTCAAATTAAAAATATTTAATTAAAAAATGTTCTCAGTGTTCTATACATTTTAAAAATAATAATTTAGTTTAAAATTATACTTGTATAGACTGGTTTACAACTGTTTATTATGCCTCTAGGGGTAGATAAATTAACTTGCTGTGCAGATTAATACGCCTGACCCCCGGTTTAATTTATACAAGGTTATATACGTATGGCTAATTAAGACATGTTCCAGGTAAAATATGTGGTTATTAGCTTGACACAATGAAATGTTATCACTGCGTTACATTTCAAACAATGTTAAATTAAACAATTGTAAACTAATTTTCCCACAAAGTTTTTACTGAAATTAATAATTGGAGACCCTGGGGTCTTATTAAAAAAGTACATAGTCCAAAGCTAAATGAAAAGGTAACCTTAATATCAAAAAAATCTAAAAAATATCAAACAGAAAAAAAATGGACTTACGTAGAATTTAATGCCAGACGTCGTATATGTACATAAAAATATTTTAACTTGGTAAGCCCTAAATTATAAATAGGATTTTACTGGTCGGTGCGCAAAACAATATAAGAATTCATTTGTTTCAACTATCATTCTCGTTTTATCTTTGACTCGCAAAAAAGGCCGTTTTTTACTTCGTATTCCATAAAACGCTCATATATTTTTAACTTAATTCATTTAATCATGCTTTATTGCGACAATAACATTTGTCGATTCAACGGGCCTATTAAACATTCTTTAAACTTACAAGTATTTAAGCAAACATTTATAATAATAAATATTAATTAAAGTACAAATGAGGAGTTTTTTTTAAACTCGATTTATACAGGGTACACCACCCAAACAGCACACAGACGTCCACTGGATATCCTTAGGACGTCAACTCAGGACATAGACGTCCTACGGATATCCGAAGGTTGGCCTTTGGTCGTCCTATTATGGTCTACTAAAGACCGTCCTAGGACCAAATGTGGCCATAATTTGGATGAGAGGAATAAAAAATAAAACAACTAAAATTTTTAACTAAACATTTTTATTTACCTAAACTACAGCACAAATATTTATAGTACAGTCTATTAGACAAACCTAATCTAATTACTTACTTGAATTTATTCTCGATTTTATTATACGTCTGGGTACAACCAACTTCTACACTGAGAAAACGAAATATTTAATATTAAGAAATCAAAACCGTTGCGATTTTTTTAAAATATTTGTTAACTATTAAAAAATTTCTTAATCGTGAACAAATTATATACTAATTATTAAAACATCGTCCGGTGACTGTGTTTCAGACAAATAAAGGATAAAGTTGTCTTAGAACTGTGATATATTAACAGTTAATATACCTAAATTCGAATAAAACGTTTTAACATTTGTCAACATAATTTTAAATGCAATATGCGCAAGCATGTGACGTTGCCGTAGTTTTTTACAAAATGGAATTTCGATATATTAACAGTTAATATATCTACATTTGCTAATACGTTATGAGCTTCTTTAATTCAACTTAACCAGTTCTTAGACCCAAATTAATATTTCTTTCGCCATATCCAACTCAACGATATGTTAATAGTTAACGTGCCTCGTTATTAACAAATATTTCGTTC